ATAACTTTGCTCAAATGATATAAATTGTACTGCACATAATTTGTATAATAAATAAACCTACACAAAATCCACACACATTCATTTAGCGCAAAATCATTTTTAAAAATAAGGTGGTATAAAAATATAGTTTGTGGGTAAGCAATTACTGTACCATGCTTTGCTATTAAAAAATGCAAATAATAGAGATGGTAAATTATAGAAGGTTTTATTGAAAATGAAGGTTTCTAAACTGGTATTTTAAAAATATATTTATTCGCTATACTTCTCTTTATTTTAGTGATAACCTGTAATTTTGAATTAAATGTTTTTCAGTGTTTTTATTTATTAATGTTAGATAAGTGTCTAATGATTAAATTTAATATAATTTTTTCAAATATATAAAATATGGATAAAAAATTATTAACAATCGTGATCAATATAAATAATGTTTGTTTAAAAAATTTTATTTAAAAAATGGTGTACATAATAAATGTTTTTGTTATTTTAAACTTAAAACATAATTAATACACGCATAACATGGATATAACATCTGAGACAGCGATCGCGTGGACAAACCTAAGGGTTAGTGTCCGGTCGGGAGTGTTGGGCACCGGAAATGAAAAGCACATATTAAACGGCATTTCGGGTGCGTTTATGAGCCGATCGTTGAACGCATTGATGGGTTCGTCCGGTTCCGGGAAATCAACGCTTTTAAAGTGTTTGAATGCAAACAATGAATACGTTTTGAGTGACGGGTCAGCGGTATATGTGGGAAATAATGGACACAAAATCAGCAAATGTTTCGTATATCAGGACCAAAATGAACGCATAATGACAGGCCTGACAGTGGGTCAGGCGCTCACATATTCATGGAGATTGAAAAACAGTGACAAAGAAAGTGTTGTTGAAGTGATTGACCACAAGAAAAATGTCACGGATTTGATGGAAGAGTTGCTAATCACTGATATTAAAGATAATCTGATAAAGAAGTGCAGTTCCGGACAAATCAAACGCATTTGCATTGCATTGGAGTTGACATCAGTTGTTAAGCCATACCTACTGTTCATCGATGAGCCGACCACTGGTCTCGACACACACTCAGCACTCATTGTATGTTAAAAGCAATTTATAAAACAGATATTTTATAAATATGTTATGGTAATTAAAATTTTTATACTATATTTTCTAGCTAATTCAATGCCTTAAAAGTTTGTCCCGTAATCACAATATGTCAGTCATTGTTAGTATACATCAGCCAAACAACGATATATTCAATATGTTTGACAACATCTATGTGTTGGCCAAAGGAGGGGTTTGTCTATATTCAGGAGTTCCCCACCGATTGAGACAACATCTCACAGACAATGGCATTGAATGTAATGAAAATCAAGTGCCGATCGAAGTGTTGATTAAAATAGGTTTCAATGGATTACATGATAATAGACTAAAAACATTGAGCGCCAAAAATCGGGAAATGACTGTAAATACAGAAACTATGCGACAAATAAATACCGGATTTGAATTTACTAAAAAATCATTCAAAACAATTGATTACATATACCTATTGACCAGATTTATTCATCGCAACTATTTTAATAACTATATAAGTGTTTTGAAACAACTATTGCTTTTCATTGGCGTTAATATATTTCTTGTGAATTGTTTTAATGAAAACATCGGTCGAGTCGACGGTTGCGTGCATTTCAACGGACAGACAAATAATACCTGTATTGTGATTGAGGATGAGAAAAGCATATTGCACCAGGTTGAAACATTATTGCATATATCATCGCTGGTTGTATTATTGATACAAATTATAAGCATTAGTAACAGTTTTGGCACTGATATGCGTATATTATTAACCGAAAATACTAACAGTGAGTGTTATTTATTTAGCATGTTTATGCCAGTAATATATTACACAACATACAGTTGCATGCAATTATTTATTAGGTTTTTAAAATTTTTATTTCGTAAAAACTATATTAATTTAAATATAAGTAATTTATTACAATTATCAGTTAATTTTAATTTGCAAACTCAGCATACAGCTAATTGCAACAATAATCATTTTTACTTATATATTTAAATACAATTTTAACTTATATTGACATTATATAAATTTATTACATTGATTATATAATTATTCTTTTACATTTTAGATTGGTATAATTCGCATTTATTTTTCTGGTCTAAATTCGTATGCGATTCATTGCTTATCATAGGGTATGCAGCGATATATGCGTTTATATTGCAATATTATATTGATATTCTCGGTGAACATGATCGGTTATATAAATTCTTATACGTTATAATAATGACATTCCTGTGCACACATGCGTTGGCATCAATATTGGGTATACTATTATCTAAACACCCAATTATTGCACTTTTTGTCTCCATAGCTATAACTATACAATTGACATCATTTGATAATTACCTTATTCTTGTCAAAGACATGAGCCCTGTGCTACAATTAGCTACCGAGTTTTGTTACATTAAATATTTCTTTAACTCGATGCTTATTTTAATATACGGCTATAATCGCTGCCCAAACAATTACCATAACAAGGTATTACTTGAATATGGTTTAAATAATAGTACAGAGCAGCTATTTAATTTATACTCACAATGGTACATTTATTATTACATAGGTCTGATAGTTTGTGAATATATTACATTTATTGTTAAAACAAATCATTCCCTAATAAAAACAAAAAATATTTTAAATTTAGTTATTAAACAAAAAATTAAAATAAATGCCAATACTTTAGAGTTATATGAAATAAGTCCAGTAATTGATACAAATTACAACTATGTTATAAACAATGAGCAAAATAATCAGGTTTTATTTATGGCATGGACTGATCTAACGTTTGCCGTTAAGAATACCATGTTTAGCACTGAAAACAAAATTATCCCAGATAATATTAGCGGTTGTGTACATATGAATACATTAAACGCATTGATGGGACCGTCGGGTGCGGGAAAGACAACACTATTAAAGTGTCTGAACGGCCAGAATAGCGCCGGTTTGAGCGCAAACACCAAGATTTACGCCATAAATGACCGATGGGTTCGCCCGTGTTTTATAAAGTCAGAAGTTTGGGACCACTTATTGCCGGGACTGACTGTAAGACAGACACTGGTATACGCGTCGAGACTCAAGAATTCAAGGATTTGTGTTAAATTAAATCACAATAAAATTGTGACGGATTTGATGTCAGAGCTGGCGATCGGCGATACGGCAGACAATAGGGTCGAGACGTGTAGTGGAGGCGAACAAAAACGTNTGTGTGTGTGTGAGAGAGAGAGAGAGAGAGAGAGAGAGAGAGAGAGAGAGAGAGATTTACAATTTGCTAATTTTAATATAATTGCTATTTCAGCTGGTTTCGAAACGACCCACTATTCGCTTCTATGGTTATTATTATTGATGGCAAACAACAGGCAAATGCAGATTAAACTCAGGGATGAGATCGAGTCAGTTATCGGCGATCGTATGGCCACTCATGAGGACAGAAATCGGTGCCATTATGTCAACGCATTCATCGCCGAAACATTGCGCTACCGGCCGGTGGCGCCCGGAGGTGTGCCCCATACGGCCATGTGCGACACCCATTTAGGTATACTCATAAATTGAACATTAATTCACTTCAACATGCTAAATAATTGCTAATTTTTCATGTGAAGTTACAGTTTGTTAAATTTTAAAGTTAAAGTATATTAGTTATTAAAGTTACTTTATAAAGTATATAAAAGTCACAAACAAACACATATAAAGTATGTATAAATTGTTTTTTAAAAACTAATATCAATTAATTTTGTGTCATAGACAAGCATTGGTTGCCAAAGGGTACAGTGATAGTTGGCAATCTCTTGGCCAACAGTATGGACCCCAAACTATGGCCAAATCCGGGTACGTTTGATCCTGATAGATTTCTCAACCAGGACGGCACACTCGTTGCGCACGTGCCGGGGTATGTGGCGTTCGGTGTCGGCCACCGGTCGTGTTTGGGCGAAAAGTTGGCCACCGCTGAGCTATTCCTAGTGGTCGCACATCTCGTGAAATACACGGCCGGACGTGTGTTTGTCTTAGAGAAGGGCGCCGGTGATGGTGAGGCCGATCTGGAGATGGCCGCCGACCAGTTGGTCACCAGCCGACCCAAGCCATACAAGATTATGCTTCTGCCATGTGCAACTTAATGCACGCGCGAGCGGTGTTAATTATTTTATGGTAGCTAATTTGTGTGGATTTTGTGTAGGTTTATTTATTATACAAATTATGTGCAGTACAATTTATATCATTTGAGCAAAGTTATAAAAATAACTGTATTTGAAAATTTTTATTTAATAATATTCTCTCTCTCTCTCTCACTCTCTCTCTCTCTCTCTCTCTCTCTCTCTC